GACTGAAGACTGATGTCATCTTGACAGCACGTGGTACATAATGAACTCATTCTTTCTTCAATAAAGGTGCCCTTTACAGAGTTGTCAAGGAGCAGACAAGAGGTGGCCCAATCATAGAGCCAGCATCAGAGCTGTCTAGGACATTATTTCTTTAGCTGGGAGTACTAGGACTTAGGTCATGGCCTGAATGCCTTATCAGGTTCTCCCTGAACTCTGATACCACGTGAGCTTTGGTTGCTAGGACTTTAAATTAGCAAAAACAATACACCAAGGAAGAACTGTTTTCGTCCATCCCATAAGCAACTCCCAGGCAGACCAGAGCTCCTCAGAAATGGGCAACAAACCATTTCTCCTCACCTTTGAGCAGGGTGACTGGTTTTGGTAATTCTGCCACAGAGGTCCTCCCCTGCCCTAACTTTGAGACAACATAACCATACTGAGCTCGGTAGAGATTCAGTGCCTGGAACACAGCTCCCAGCTCTGGCCTGACTAAACCATGAGACAGCGCTTAGAACCTATCTACATTGTGTAAAAAGCCAAGGCTAGCACAAAGAATCGCTTCAGGAAAAAAAAAAAAACTTATTTTTATTCGAATGCATCTACATTTATAGGCCAGAGGAGGATGTCTGTGGTTTTGAAACTGAATGTCAAATAGCATCTGTATTATCCTAGAGATTCATTACTTCTGGAACAATCTATATATTGTGTTTCAGCTATCTGTGAACATACAGCATGAGACATAGCTATTGCTTCTGGGAAGTGGCTAATCCATGCCTTTATGGAAGACAGGTACATGCATTGTTATTAAAAGTAAATTCACTATTCTTTATGCTTTGGCAAGGCCAGACTGACTGTTGTCAGATTAGAAATATCACTGAGATAGTATCCACAAAAACCGCAGAGTATTGATCCCTCACGGCTAGCATAAAGTTGACACAAAATAATACTCTTTGAATGTCAGTATTAGTATTAATTTAGACTTCTCAAAAATTAACTCCGATGACAGAGGCCTCTACTAAAAATAATCCCAGGGAAATCAGCCTCTAACAGTAAGGCAACCAGAAAACTCAAAAAGGAAACATTGGTTAAACCTCTCCAAATCCTGACCCAATGCTCTCATTTGTCAAACCTATTATTTTAGAATTTCTTTGGATTATAAGAAAAGACAGGGCTAAGTGCTCTTGCATAGCCTTTATGAATATCTCTACTCAGTATAGAACGTTCCTCATCAATACATCTGATGGGAACTCTAGATAAGGCCTCTAGCTTCACCAGACCTATCACCGACTAGTCTGGTATGCTCCCATCATCCTCTCTGCTGACAGACAATGCCCCAGAGGCAACAGTTGCCTAAGTTGTTTTTCAGGAACTTGGAGCCATGTTTGTGTGTCTCAAGCTAGCTGAAGCTATCAACTGTTCACTTGGACCTCAGCAGTGTGCCTTATTTGATAATTTTGGATTACACGGATGGTAAGCTTTTCCTCAGCCTGAGGCCTGTGAAGAGGGTAGTTGCGCAGGGAACGGACCCTGTTTTAACTTTTCTCCACACTTCAGGCCACACTGTCTCTCAGCCTACTCAGACCTCGTAACCTGGGCCGGCAGATCTGTGACTCGGCTCCATTGCCGGGGAAATAAACTCTTTCACAAAGCCTGGCCCAGGGACTGCCATCAACCGTCATATTCACGAGCCAATGCGGATGTGTAACTGTGGACACAACGCAGACTTTATCCAGATTCCGTTCACTTCCCCCTGCTATTTCTGCAATTTCATCTAGGAGGTAGCGTTACATTTAATCAAGTCTCTTCTTGACTCTAGCGATCTTGCAAGCTCTTCCGCTTGTTCAGGGTCCTCCATGATCTCCGAGAAGACTGGTGAGAGGTTCTTACCATGTCCCTCAGCTGGGAACTGTCCCGTGTTTTTCCTGCAGACGGACTGTGATTATGGGTTTGGGTTAAGTGTTGTTCTCATGTGATGAACACGCTGTCAACATGACTGACGGCTGAGACAATGCTTGCCAGGCTTCAACAAAACCAACTCGCTTCTCTGCCCCCTTACCCTTCCTGCGTTATTTGGGAAACAGTCACTATCCAAGTCACTCTTGTGAAATTCTCCTGAGTTATTCGGAGAGATTCTCCTTTCTCCTACCTGTTTCCTCATTTGATCATATATCCAATGGCTTGGAATGAGAGTTCAATAGTCCTTTAATATTTATTCATTTTGTAATTGAAATTATTCCCATTTTGATCACTGGGGACTCTGTTGGCTCCTGGGCCCTGTGGTTTGGAGCTGTTGACAAACTTCCCTACTTTATGGAAGGCACTGGGAGGCCCTTCAGGCTCCATCTTGTATGCACTTCTTGTCCTGGGCCTAGAATCAACACGTGGCACTGAAGAAAAACTAGAAACCCAATGTCTGAACAACAGACATGTTTTTAAATGCCAAAGAGTAGGCTTAAACTCAAAGAATTTAAAAAAAATAAATAATTTGACAGCACTGAATCTGGAGAAACAGAAAAGTTCCATTTCCAAAATACAATGGGAAAACGTGAACATTTTTTATAACCCAGAGAGAAATATATTTTAATGTGATATTCTTTGAAAAGTCTTTTCATTTTTTAACTTTAATGTAGTTTTTGAGGTTTCTGTTTTCATTTTTCAAAGCCAGCTGATGTATTCTCAGCACCCTAACTGGAATACAGGACCTGTATCTTCCATCCTATCTAAAGGCTACTTTCATGATAGAGCCTGAGTCCAGAAACTCAGAGTCAACACCATGCAGAGAGGGAGCAGATTAAGGGATTGTTACTGACAACTGAGACCACCCCCGAAGCATCCTCTCTCTGTCTTCCCTCTGATGTCATAGGAAGTAGACAAGAGACAGGGGCAGGAAGCACTTGGGCATCACACAGAAAGGAATCTAGCTCTGCTTGGAACCGATATCATCGGCTCAGAACATGGTAGGGACCACTCAGGATGATCACACCTGACAAACATCTGTTCAAGCCAAACACGTTCACTAGGGCTTCTGAAGTGTATGCCTGAGATCCTCACAAACGGTGGCCTAAGCCAGAAGTGTTGACGGACATCCGTGGGCCCGGTTCCGAGCTCTTTGGAGGCTGAGGCCACTTCTGCTTGAACATTCAAGGCCAATCTGAGCAACATAGCAAGATCGTGTGTCAAAAAAAAAAAAAAAAAAAGTCTGTGGTTTAATAATAAAAGAAGGCAGCTGGAGTTCGGGGAGAAGAAAATATTCTCGCCTAAACCAGACTCATCCTGTGAGGAAATGCTTGGCATCTCTTGCATACCAGGGAGGAGGATAACAACACTTGCCTCCGTCTTCAGCCACGCACCTGCATCTTTAAACAGACTAACACGGGTTCCAAGTGCACTCACAACATTAGTCACGGAAGGCTGAAGTCTCAGGTAGGCTGAAGCCCGAACTTCATGCATTCAGTCACTATCTGGAACGCTAAAATGCATTCCAAGGGAGGGGGGAACGGGACACGGGCAGACTGAAGATAAGGAGTGTTTCTTAAATCCCAGTCTGGTCCAAGGGTATCAGAAGAAAGACTTAAGGCTTGGGCTTGGGGCTTCGTTTTGCTGTTCTCTAGTTCCATGGACAGGTTTGGTCATGATGCACTTTGAACCCCCCCCCCCCCCCCATTTACCACATACGGGGCTGGGGGGGGGAGGGAAGTTGTTGGCTATCACTACTATGGTTCCTTAACCTTCTTCACTACCGGGTAAGACTCAATGGGGTGTTTTTTAAAGTGATCTGCACTACTGGGCTTGGTAGCACGGGCCTGGAAGCCCAGTTACAAGGCGGTCGAGATCTCACTGGGCTATGGACTAAGTCAAGGCCAGCTTGTGTGTTTTGATAAAACCCTCTCTCAAAATAAAATCTAGACAAGGGCTAGGGATACCTCAGAGAGCTGGTGTAGCTTATCTGCAAGGCTCCAAGCTCCTCAGCACTGCTCAACAAGCAAATACCCAAGCCAACAGTGTCAAACAGAACACAGCCAGAGTTTGGATGACTGTGTGGCATTTTAAAAACTATTCATCTATTTATTTTACTTCCTGGTGACAGGCTCCCCACCTCCATCCTCCCGTCCCAATTCGCACCCCCACTTTCCAATCCCCTCCTCTTCCTTCTCTATCCAGGAAAGGGCAGATCTCCCGTGAGTAGCAATAAAATATGGCATATCAAGTTGCAGTGAGACTGGGCACCTCCTCGTGTATTAAGGCTGGGCGTGACCTTTTTAGATTGTGTCTAGTAGCTACAAGCTACAAAGCAAGCACTGAGTCCTGAGGTTGGAAGAAGGAGGGGCCTGGGAGGGATGTAAGCTTCAGTCTATTAACAAAGGCTATGTCTACCTGGGTTGCAGCAGATTCAAGTGTGGGAGCCCCAGGCCTTTGTTTCCCAACCCTTATCTAGATGAGCACACTCACGGAGGAGTCAGGTTGCATGGTTTGTTTACAAGAGGTGGTTCTATGGGGAGGTATGCTGCCCTTCCAAGGGAAGAGAACTGGGGGTGGGGAAAACAGAGCAAAGGCATTGGTGCAATTGCTGTGGGCACTTCCGGGCAGAGCGGCAGGATGGATCTGAACTAGGGGGCTTATTTAACAGGTGACACACATTCTACGCAGTGCACTGGGGTGGAAAACAAGATGTAAACTATAGTTCCTGTTCCCTCCCCCTCAAAGTTCCACTTTTCCCCTTCAAAAAAGATGGGAGAGATAAAAGAAAAACAACCACACTGGCCTTCTAACTGAAACAATGAATTACAGGTAACAGTTATTTTAATTAAAAAAAAAATTCTATGTCAAATGATTTAAAAACCAGGGGAAGTGGAGAAAAAAAAAAGGACAAAATGTTTAAGCATGTGAGACCAACACTTCCTGCCAGAAGGACTTCCTGTTTTGGGAACCACAGATGCGGAGAAACATCCGCTCTGTAGCCACAGCCTGGGTTGCATAGACCACTTCTCTGTTCTACTTACCCTTCTTCCCCAACGAAGGTGACGTACAGCTTATTCCTCTGCAGGTCTTTTCTGGAGTAGCCCATAATCTGGTTAAAAGCATCTTCTAACAAGTGGTCCCTTCGGATAATTAACCTGTCCGCGGAGAGGCGATTGGAAAAGTGCATTAAGAGATTACTTCCTGTGCCTTATCTTTCTTGCCTTATGATTTCTGTTTGCCACAATCAACGAGGCGAGGAGGGAAGCTGCTTTAATGCCCTTGCCATCTGCACTTGAGTACACATCTGGCTTTAACTCTTTCACAGCCAAGAGCAAAAGTTACTTGAGACCATCATGGGTAAAACCCGTGACCTGTGAAAAAAATCCACGGGTCCTTTCTGAGTGGCCAAGACATGGATCCCAGAAGGGAAGTGGTCATCACACACACACACACACACACACACACACACACACACACACACGGCGGGGGGTAGCGAAGGGAGAGGGAGACAGGGAGAGACAGAGATATCTTACTAAAGAAAGAACAACACTATGAGGTAATTTTTAAAGTCTGGAATGCACCTAGCATAGAATTCAATTACTCATGCCCAGTGAGAACCAGGAGGGTGTGTGTGTGTGTGTGTGTGTGTGTGTGTGTGTGCTGCAAAGCAAAAGAGTTTACAATTATACTGGATTTTAAATATTTTGTGAACCTTGAGACTTCCTAAGGGGTAGAGAAAAATAAGTGAAGCTTGTGACAATCTCCTGTGATGATGACAACTGAAGCCATCTTCTGCAGGCATCAAATTACCCTTAATGTCAAGAGCAACGAGGACATGACAGGGAGCCTGAACTTATGAAGATCTTGGTAATTCAAATATGATAGAAGCAGTTCAGAGAGATATGGAGTTGGGGCCGATAAAAGTGGAATTGACCAAGCCAACATTCCTGTGCCTGGGGCAGTGAGCATGGGGGCTGGACCTCCCCTGGACTCTCAGGGTACAAGGTGACTGTCCCTCCCCTATCTTCCTGTCTTCTCACAGGTGGGACAGTGAGCTCAAGTGGGGACACAGAGGTAGGAAGACAGGAAAGAGGCACACAGGGATGAGAAGATCTCTGGACAAGCAAGGGAGGTGGCTAAAGAGGCAGACACAGCATTCACGACAGGTTCTGTTGTTCAAGTGAGATTTGTTTCACAGAACGAATAGGGCTGGTTATTATCCTGTGCTCATGTTGACCTGGAACTAGTAACATGTGGCATAAAACACTGTGATAATGACACATCTCACAAATATCAGATAGGCCAGCAGAGAGAGAGAAAAAAGTCATCAATTTTGGATTTTGCATGTTGTTTTACACAGGCCTAGCCTGATTGAAAACCACAAGCTTACTAGCGTTTAATTCCTGAACATTTTACATCATTAGAGTGTAATTTACAATTTCTGAAAGAATCATGCCCAAGAAAATAGACTCATGCGACGCCCAATTTTTCAAACTCACAACTGCTCCTACCCATCCATCACCTCTAAACCACGTGGTTTGCGTCATTTCTACTTACTTTAATTTCCCCGGGCCTTGTCCATATCCTTTCGTTTCTAACTTCCTGTAAAAGTTCCTCAGTTTGGCTTCAAAATCTCTCTTGTAAGGGGCTGGAGCCCGGGCATTGGCACGCTGAGTACCTGTAGCAACCAAAGGAGGACAAGCTGGATCCGCGCTCTGTGCCAGCATCGTCCCAACACCACGAAAAACTGCCACAAGTTAGCAAAGAAAACCGAGACATCACCCCTCCTCCACCCTCTCCAACGGTGAAGGCCTTAGCAGAGCTTAAGGAAGGTCTTAGGGGAAATTCTCCTTGGTTGCTTTTTGACTGAGAATGAAGATCCCGGTTAAGCAGCCAAATACGCTCACTGTTTCTCAGATATGTTCCCCTTTTCCATCCAAACCAGAATGAGTCAAAGAGTTATTCATGTCTAAGGATAACTAGTCAGGATGAATTATCTTTGCTTGCAGAAGAAACAATATCATGGAAGCTCTAAAGGAAGTCTCACGGAGCCCGGCGAAAGTGTTTTTAGATAGGCAGTATATTTAAGAATGATCTTAGAAATACAATTACACTTATTTTATATTGTAGGATAAGAGATTAATCTAAAAACAGAGTTGTGGGAGGAATGTATATCTTGGAGCTGCACGAAGAATAAGCATTATTAGTATTTACTGTATTTCCAATGTGTCGAGTACTGCCAATAGCTATAGATTAAAAATACGCCATTCGTTATTAATAAAGTATTATTAATAAGGTGTAAATACGACATGATTTCTTCCTCTTTCCACAGAAAAATCCGTGTGTCCCAGGGGATTAGGTTACATGTTGGAATGTTGGACTGGTGATGACCAGGGGAATCGGGAACCGACGCATGAAATAAACACCGGCTGCTTCCATGAAATATTTCCCATCTCAGTGAAAGGAAGCAGAAAACAAATTCCTATCTCGCTCCTTACACAGCATTCGAGTTCCATGAAATTTTTTATTTGATGTGTTGTGTGTGTGTGTTGTTATTTGTTCTGTTGAGACAGAAGCTTGTTAGTTAGCCTAGACTGGCCTCGAATTTTCCATTCCCCTGCCTGTGCCTCAATTATATAGGCTACAATTACAGGCCTGAGCCATCCTGCTTAGCAGAAATTTCTTTAACAAATGAGGTAGCTAGGATGGCTATTTATTATTATTGCTAGTCTTGCGTTATAGTCAACAATGGATGTCCTGGTTGAGAAGACAGAAATAAAACATATTAAATAATTAGGTCTTAAACTAGTAGGGATACAAACCCTAAAACAGAGGAGATAAAAATTATAGCCCTGGGGCTATATCCAGTCTCGAATGTCTACTTTGTTTGCCCCCTACATTAAAATAAATAAATAAATAAACAAATAAATAAATAAGACTAGATGACTAGATTCATCGCCAGCATTTAAAAATGAGGCAATTTCAAGGTAAGGAAACACATGTTTTTCTCTTGAAAATTAGGAGAAATTTTACAACTGGCTTGAGCCTCCTTGAGGATGCTGCTTCCTCGGACTCCACTTCCTTGGATCCACTCAGGGGCACGGGCTATCTGATTGCCTAGGTGTTTGCCTTTGAGACCAGTGGTATAGGAGATAATGGTGATGTCACAGAGCAGTAATATGTGTGTGTGTGTGTGTGTGTGTGTGTGTGTGTGTGTGTGTGTAGGGATCAAAATGGAAAAGACCTCAGGGAGGAGCTTAATTGGAGCCTAAGTGGTTAATTGCCAAGCAGATAGGATCTACAATCACCATGGAGACAAACCTCTGGGCAAGCCAGCGATGGAATTTCTAGCTCTGGTTAATTGAGGTAGGGGGACCCACCCTAAATGTGAGTGGCACCATTTCAGGGGCTGGGGTCTAGCCGTGGAGAAAGAAGAGGGCTTCGTACCTGAGATCCATCTCTCGGCTTTTGACTGAGGATGCAATCAATAAAAGCAGCCACCACCTGCCCCTGCCACCACGTCTTCCTTGACCCAGCGGTACTGTATCCCCTCTAACTATAAGCCCGAATAAACCTTCCCTGTCTTAAGGTTTTTAATGTCTGGTATTTGGTCACTACAATGAGAAGATTCAGTACCACTAAACTTGTGACTAGAAAAGACTCTGAATTTTATGCCTGTTCACAGCAGAAAGAATGGGACTAGATACTGAATGTGTGTTCAGATGCTATGGAGGGCATACCGGAGAGACAAGGGCTGAAGTCAGTTAGGAGAGAGATTTAAAAATCCTGCCGCTGGTGTTAGGGAATAGGGGGCGGGGCTCCTTTATAGACCACTGAGGAAAGGAAAGGGAAGAATGCCGAAGTGGGATTTGGTTAGAGAAATTCTCAGCGGAGGGCGGAGGGCAGATGTAGGGTGGAAAAGAGGAAGGAGGACGGAAGGGCGGAGAAGCAGTTAGGAGTTTAGACAGCAACTGAGGCCTGAGGGGATAAGAACTAGTCAGGAGTGTGGGTGACTCAGAGGAACCCCGCGCATGCGAAATACAAATTAGCACCAGTAGAAAAGCAAAGGGGGGTGGGGGGGATGGGGAGCTCTGATGATAACAGCGTTTCTTAATAATAATGATAGCTGTTGTCAGATAAGCACCTGCTATCCGCTGGGGATATTGCGGCACTTTCCATAGTGGGAGTCTTGAGAAGTCCTCACACAGAGCCTCTGAAGGGGCCATTAAGGTCTCCATCATCACTCTGACGGAAGAAAACGAGGAAGCAGCTTCATGCGCAAATCCTACCCCAGGAACAGGAATTTGGGATTTGACAAGGTCTATTGGATGCTAAAAGCAGTGTGTATGGGGAGGGTGACGTTGGTAGTCAAGGGACACAGGAGGCTTTGTGAATATTGAGTTGGATGCAACAGTCAGGGATGCTCTCTACAGCCCCTGGACAGGAGAGCTCCTGCGTTTGCGTGAGGGATCAGCTAATTCCTGTGGATAAGACAGGTTTGTGCATGCATGACCCTGTGCAGTGTCGATCACTAGAAGTCTTCTGTGTGCTGGCTGTTCATGTTATGGAAATACATCCTCAACACATAGGCAAACATGTTGGAGCTTCAGGGATGGATAGTCACAAGACCGGCTCCTGACCAGTCTTAGAAGCTTGTCTGCAGAGTTATAAACCTTTCCTTCAAAGAGCTAAGAGTTAAGTCATGAAGAAAACAAATAAACTCAACCTTACAAAATCCAGGAAATAAAGGAGAATCCTAAGCACTCGACCTTGAGGGCACGTCAGAGTCTCTGAGGGAACTTTAAAAAATTCCAAAGTGCAAGCCACTGCCCAAACCATGACATCAGAATCTGTGGGGGCAGGATCCAGGCCTCCGTGTTTTCTGCAGCTCTCCAGATGATTCCAAAAGGCAGCCAAGCTGAAGAATGGCTTACAGAAAGCAAGCTCAACAGAAAGCTGTGAGACATGTGGGCAGCGTCCAGTAGCTCACACTGGGCAGTGGCTGCCTGTGTGCTCCACAAATGGACAGGAGCCGCGGGAGCACAGGGCTGCTGCTGGGTGCATGGAGGTCAAGACGACGCAACACTGGGCCACTCAGGACACCCAAGAAAGTTGCAAGGAGCTCTACGCTGTCACCCAAAAGCCCAGAAAGTAGCCACAACAAATTTGCGTCAACAGGAGTCGTCGATGGGGAACAGGAAATAAAGCTCAAAGACTGAATGAAAACTCTTTATAGCCTCAAAAAGAAACATCATTCGTCTAGTTGATGACTTTAAGAAGTAATTACTACGCCTGTATAACTCAAGCTAGGCCGTGGGAAGTCCCACCATGCACCCTGTCACTCTCAATACCGATAAATGAAAAGTTAGCTCCGCCTCCATTTACACTCCAGCTCAGGGACTTAACCATCGAGAGCCTGGTAACAGCAATGGTTCAAGGTGAGCATCCCATCGCTAATAGTTCTGTTATGAAAAATAATCACATGTGATTCACTGAAAACGACAGTAAACAGTAAGTACTGTTGGCCTTTGTCAATTTGTCAATTTCTATATCTGTTTTCAAGTCTCCCGTAGCCCAGCCTGGGGCTGGGCCAGCCTGGTTTACAAGAGGTAGTTCTAGGACAGGTTCCAAAGCTACAGAGAAACTCTGTCTCGAAAATAAATAAATAAATAAAAAAATAAGTAAACAAACTCACTCTGTAACCGGGCATAAGTGCTGGGATTACAGGCATGCACCACCACACAGAGCTCAGAACCTGTAGGTAAGAAACTTATTGAGATGGGGAAGACACATGATTTTTTTTTAGAGGGGTCTGAAGCAGGATTTGAAAGGTTAGTAGTAGAGTACAGATTCTCTTGCGAGCCAGGAGACGAGCTAGGCAGTCCAGGAAAGACCTGTCTGAGGGACCCAGAACAAACAGGTAGGCAATGGGACACAGACAAGGACGGGATCCCGTGTGGGGCTTGCAACTGAGTCTACGTGGTAGGACGTCGTTCTTCAATACAGGAAGTCATGGATCATGAATAGTTTTTCAACAAAATTAATAGTGAAAGAGCTATATAATCCCAGAGGTTGATCTGGCCCTAACATGGATGCCAGACTCAGGGAGCTAAGTATCATATATTGGAAACAGACTAGAGCTTCGTGGGAGTTGCTTCAGGGGTGGCCGGAAGACTGGGTTCCTCATTGTAAAGTAGGAATAGAATTCTGACCATCTATAGTTTTGAACAAATATTATCCATATTAGTTCTTAGGAGTTAATTTTGTTTTGGGAAAGGACAGTGTTATTAGAGTAAATTCAAAAAGAAAAATAGAAATTTTACTGATATATTATTTAACATAACTTACAAAACTGTCTGTTTATGGGTAAGTATTTTGAGAAGTAGGGTAGCAGGGTCTTGCTATATAGCCCAGGCTAGCCTGGGACTTGAAAAACTTCAAATCGTCCTGCCTCCCCATTCCGGGGCCTGGGATTCTAGATATGAGCCATCATTCCCAAAACAACTGTCATATAATCACTACAAATCAGGCTCAACTGCCAAGAGCTTCCCAGGAAAGAATGAGGTTATTTTGCTTCAAGAAACCAAAAAAATGTTCTTGGAAGGCTGAGCTGAGAGAAATGTATGTTAACCACAACTGCACCCGAAGGCCCTTGCTCTCAGCTCTTACCAAAGGGAA